AAGATGAAGTTATACTCTTCACAATCTTGATTTTCCTTTGCTTGCTTAAGGTCTTTTAACATAAGTAGAAGTCATACACCAAATATAAGTTATTTTTATTAAGAACAACCTTTTCAACAAGCTTTTCCAGCAAATATTGCAATCTGAATTTTTTTCGTGCACTTTTTGAATTTGAAAGATCAGTTGTCTACTCACCATTGAGTTCACTCTGGGTTTTGTCAGAAACAAGGAGTGAAACTTCCATTTCCCAGTAATGTTCCATAAGGATATGTAAATTCTTCGTTTTCCCGTGGGCATACCTGGCCAGCCGGTACAGTCTCAAGTCGAAATTTCCCATCCCCAACGAGGTGGCCATTTGCGAAATACCAAGAAAGTTGATCAAATGCTTTTTTGCATCCATTATATTTCTTTTCTCTTTACGGATTGGAATTCTGCTTCGATGCCTTTCAAAAGCACTTTTCTTGCCACATCATTAAAAGAGTAGAGTAGACATGTATATTTATACAGGATAGCCCCTTCAGTGTAGTAAACACTGGTATCAACGAGGGTCCTGTTAACCACCCATCCCACCCCAGGGAGGACATCCATCACACAGTAATCTCCTGTGTGGGAAATTCATGTCTCCTGCCCCTAACCCTACAGGAGACGGGACCTCCATTTATTCGTCCCTATCTGAGAAGACTAGAATATCTAACCATTTCTTGATGTTATAGAAAGGTAGCATATTCTTCTCAATTATTTTAAGACCCTGAGTGTTGGTCCGGCCGGGGCTCGAACCCTCGACCTCCCGCACAACAGTCCAGCGCTCTATCCATTGAGCTAACCGACTAATACTTCCGACTAATACTTCCACAACTCCAGCCCATGCAGATTTTTTTTGTGTTTAAGGCGGACGGCCGGGCTCCCGAGAGGGTGGTGCAATGCCCACTGACCTACATATCTAGTCCAACCCATGGCTAGATTGCAATGCCTTAGGGTTGGGACTGACTGGGCAGGAGTAAATCAGGTACTCAAGTGACTCAACCGGGGCACTACAGAAGCAGGATTGAGGGACGGATAAACCAAAGGAGGAGAGACGCTGGGCAGTATACAGAACACCGTGCACTACCTTCCAACTGAGGTCGATTACGCGACAATCCAGGTTGAAGAGTGACAGGGAGCGCCACGTAGCAGGCCAGTCTAAGTGCAGAAAGGAAGTTTTGAATTTGTAGATGCAATGCAGTTGAACCATGTTCTCATACTGGGGATGGGGTATAGACATGAGAACTAGTAGAACCAAACACTAAAGAGTTTTTAGATGAGGCAAAAGCACCTTTATGTCCACACCATGCCAACATGAAAGACTGATAGAAGTGTGGCAAGACCCTGTGGTCAAAGGAAAAGGGATGGGAGAACACATCGGGGGGGGGAACACCATAGTACAAACGAAACCAGAAAGACATCAAAGAACACCAACCCGATGGGGAAAAGGGAAACCTCCTGACCCATTGCCTAAGAAGAGCCCACACTTTGTATTTAACGTCAATCACAGAAAACCCACCAAACAAAGGAGATAAAAGATTGAGACACAGCCAGGTCAAAAGCTTATATCCTTCTTGAGTTATCTTTCCTCAAACGCAAAAGTACCACAGTTTGATAAATTTAACTTTAAAGTTGAGAAATAGAATGAAATGGCAATTATCTTGAATTTTAAATAGTAATTACTGATCAAAAGTTGTGATTTTGTTCCTAGAAGCCTAGGGTAATGTTCAAAATGCCCCAAATTCATATGTGACTCCTTCCATCTCGCGAAGGGCTTCTTCCTGTCGAGTGTGCACAAGCTGAAGACCCTGACGACGCTTCTTTTCCTTTTCAGTAACTTGAAGGTCTGCTTTTCGCAAGCGCTTCCTGTCCTTAAGATTAAATGCATGGCTGGTGTATGTACCACCAGGAATGGAAAGCTTTTCCATTATCATTTTCCTGCATTCAGCTCCTTGATGGAAGTGACAAACTGCAGATGCTGCAGCACATCGAATAACTTTAGCCCCATGATGCTTATGTTTCGGGCAACGAACCCAGACCATAGAATTGATGCATTCATTTGGGTTTTGGGTTGTTCCACGAACACACCTCTCAAGGAGCTTAGTGTCACTTAGAGTCATAAATGTGGGCCATAATAGTTCTAGAAAAACCTCAGGTAAACAATCATCTGCTTTATATGTGGATGTTCCTGTGGCCAGATCCTGCTGCCACTTACACCAGGAGCTTTCCCCGGGTGCACAGAAGCAATGTTGCTTAGCAGCATCTCCTGACTTCACACTGTGGTTTAGAATGGCAATAATATTCAATTTCATTGCATAAACTGTCACATCAACTTCTCGGTCAGATGGATTTACCTTTGAGAGTGTGTTTTGCAGTATAGCAAGGCCATAATATTTCTGAAGTTGCTTGATTTTGCTGTCTGTTAGCCTGCCATGTCCCCCTATCGGTTTGCCATCTTCAAGTTTACCTTTGGTCCTGGATTTCAGATTAAGAAGGTGCTTGCCCATTCTCTTCTGGACATGGCCAACACAGTCCAGCTTAATGACTTTACAATCACCATACGCATTTTCTACGGCATTGAAGACCTTGCTGTCACCATCTGACACCATCCACTTGTACCGAATATTGTGTAGTTCGACTGATCTGTTCCAAAGAACAACAGCTCCTTCAGCCTCCATGGCTGGTGAGCTTCCAGTAAAATTAATGTCACATTCACCAGATGCAATGTGCTCCCTTCTCCATTCTTCAAATGAGTCATCATTCCCTTCACACTGGGTCTTTTTGCGGGCGCATTTCTGGCAAGCTTTGGATAACACATGGTAATCTAAAACTTCACCAGTGTCCACAGAAATGACAAAAACAACACCAGTTAAGGAGGTAAAGCCTCTCTTGGCCCATGTCCCATCAAAGCTTACAGCAGCATCCAGAGTTTCTGTGCTGCCCAATCCATCATTTTCCTGCAGGATGAGTTCTCGAAGCCTTTGGCCTGCTTTGGTTAGCTGCTCCTTTGCCTCATCTTCCAGGACTAATAAAATTTTATCAACCTGCTGGTAATATGCACGTGTGGAGAGACAAGGCATGTTCATGACTCCACAGAATGAGGAAAGCCCATCATAACCAATGCCTGATTCTAAGGAGTGGTAAACAGCTCTCCTGTTGAAGTCATATGACTTGCCTCTGTTAGTGATATTTGTTGATGTCAGCAATTGGCTACTTTTTTCACAGGCATTACAGGTAAGTGACAGGTTTGACATCAGTCCTGTACGTCCAGAGGTGTTTTCTTCAATAGTTATATTTGCTGAAAGATAGTAAGAAATAAGTAAGACAAAAAACTTGCAACTGTACCTGAGGAGTATAATTAATTGACGAAGAGAATAATTAATTGACGAAATTATGAAACTGAAACTTCATTAAGAAAACAAGCATATTGTAACCATACTTTTCAATATTGTTAAGGCTCACTTTACCAGTCTTTCGTTCTAACTTTAACTTGCTACTAAAAACTCTACTTTAATCCGCAGATCGTCGTATTTAGGCTCATCCTATTTTATGGACTCACCTTTTTCGCATTTGTGTGCAGGGGAGAGCACTGATGACAAACTGTTTAAATCGACCAGCCTGTATCCACTCGTGTCAACTACAGCTTCGGTTTCTTCAGCCGAGCTGCTAGAAGATTCATCTGAAGAAATTTCAAGTTTCATTTTTTTTCGAGAGGAACTAATCCGTAGATCCCTGTCCTCGCCAGATTCATCTGCCAGTGCATCAGACAGACCAGATCGTTCGAGCGACGTGCCAGGACTTGGCTGATCTATAACTGGTTCTCTCGTTTCTACGGAGGCTTCATCTCTTGATTTCTCCTTTCTGCGTGATCCACCAAATCCTTTACCTCTCCTTTTCTTTCTATAACGGCTCTTTTTTTTGCTTCCAGTCATAATTTCGACAACAATAGCAATATTTCCAATGTGTTCGATGATTCCCGCTATTTCACCACGTTCAAACGTATCCCAGAGTGCAACTTTTAGCTTTTGGACTCATGTAACAGTCACAGAGATGTCCCCCAAAGCTTCTGTGCCCATTTGGACCTCTTTGGGGAGGGGTAAGAGGTCATAAACGAAAAAAAACAGACATTAACAACTCCCGTTGCCATGGAAAAGGTATTTGCGCCTTATACCTGTTGTTAAGAATTGCCCCGTCTCCTCTAAATTGTTGTAAAAATTCGCCCAAAACACTTTGCAATGTTAACTTTATTGGTTAAAGTTTCTAATTTTAAAGAAAACAAAAAAGTCATTTTTTTGGCAAAATTCAGGTAAAACCCCACCTTAAGTGCTTTCTCCTGGTCTAGGGACAAGATGGCGACATGGGTACCAGAGGTGGTAGCGTAGTGAATCTTGTCCCAGGGAAGGGCCACATTCTCCCCAATGAATCTCTTAGGAACTCCACAAGTTTGGTCAGGGTTGACGACCAGGTGAATTACCTGGAAGAGTCGGCCTGCAATAGTCCTCGATGCTACCTTGTAGTCGATGTTCAGGAGTGTCAAAAAATGAATAATCGACAACAAAGTCCCAAAAGTTATGAACCAACAAAGGCTAGAAAGGCGCGGACGGCCAGCAAGGTACCACTAATGTCCCCTTGACATTGCATCTAAACATGAAAATAAGGACTTTTGACAAGAGTAAGACCGGTGGCACAACTAAGCAATTTTCGTGTTGCCAGTCCTCCAGGATTCCAGAATCTAGAAAAATATTTTGAGACTTTCTTGTTGTAGTGGGTGGCAAAGAAATCCACCGTAAATGGCCCCCAAATCACGTCCAGCTGCCGAAAGAACGCGGGGGCAAGCTCCCAATCATCATAATCCACAATCTTGCTGAGGAAATCTGCTTTTTCATTAAGTGATCGTGGCAACTACTCAATGTCTAAATAAATTCCAGCCTTGAAAGAAAACGAAAAAATATTGCAAGCTAGCTTATGCAGATTGAAATTCATGCGGCCAACTTGCACGATCCTAGCCACCACTTAACCCTAGAGTTAGGAAGGAAAGAACTAAACGAACTAAGAACAAACTGAACAGCTAACAGCTCCCGGTAAGTAGAGCTCTCCTGGCATTCTGCTTCTGTAAACATCATGTGAGCATGCACATCTACCCCAGCAATGTGACCTGCACAGGCTGTATTACTAGCATCCAAGTAAATGGATATGAAAGGGGATGCCAAATCTGATACAGATTTGGAGTTAACAGAGCAAAGATTATCCTTCCAAAACTGAAGCTCTACCATGCAATACCTATGAAGAGCAAACACACTGTCCCAGTCTCGGGCAGCCGCTACGGACATCAAGCAATGCCTGGTGATAATCCAGCTAAGATTCCCTAGAACAGGACTCATAGAGATGATCTTACCCACAATGGAGGCCAGGCCTCCAGCAGAAAGTCTAGGATCTTGAAGAGTGTTGTCAATGTGAAGCAAAGCCTTATCTATTCTGGGTTCAGTAATGCTAATTTCTCCTAGAAGCCCGTCCCAAATGATACCAAGCCAAGTGATTAAACGCACAGGATCCCAAACTGACTTATCTTTGTTAGCTAGGAAGCCGACCAAAACCAGATCTGATCTAATGATGCTAGAGTGAATCTCACTTGACAACTTAGTAGGTGCGACATTGAAATCATCATCAAGGTAAACAACAGTGTATATACCCTGAGATTGCCAGTGTCTAACTAAAGGTCTGAGTAGCTTGGTGAAGATGTAAGGCGCCGAAGATAAACCGAACGGTAAGATGGTAAACATAAAGAAACTAGGTTTTCCATCAGACATGACCCAGCTAAACCCAAGGAAACGTTGGTGGTCGGGAAAAATATCTAAATGGTGATACCCACTTTTAAAGTCAAACTTAGTGAAGTAACTACCTTTCTCAAAATAATGTAGGCCAACTCTCTAATCTTCAAACTTGAAATTCTGCTTAAAGATATATTGATTGACATATCTCAAGTCCAAAATTAGGCATTTTTTCCCGCAACCCTGGATGGAAAGAGAGAGGGGATTAATAACCCTGACATAACACTTGCACACTTTACAAACGCTCCTGGAAGTACACAACTCAAGAATCGCCGATTGGATAAAGTCAGAGTGTTTCAAAGCAGGGGATTTATTCTTGAACTCTGCCGTTGTCTGAGTAAGGTAGAAAGGTATCTTGTAGCCCTGTGTAATGCATTCCACGATGAAGGAGAGAGCGTTTATTCTTTCGAAAACTGGACGTGATGTTTTGGTCTACCTTTAACGGGTAAACTCCAGCCGTGTTATCACAACTAGTTTACGGGGTTGATCCCCGAATGCTGTGCTAACTGCTCCTTTGAACCGCTAGCTTACAGGTCCGAATCTGTCATGAAGTCCTTTGCAAGTAGAGCTCCAGTGGCCTCTTTTTCCGCATCTGAAGGAGATGTCTGTTGTAGAAGGCATTTGACAGCCTGAAAAGGAAAAAAACAAGTAACGCGGAAGCAGAGCGACCACCAAAAAAGTTCAAATAAACTAACCGATAAAAGAAAATAAGGTCATAGTAGTAGCAAGTATGATAAATATTGTAAGAAATAGACAACTTTTTTGAGAGACATGTTTCGGCATGCTTATGCCATCTTCAATGAATGAGTAACAGAACGTGAGTAATTATATAACAGACAAGTAGATGAATAAAATATTTACAGTATGATGTAATGCAAAAGCAGGTACTAATCACAACGTGACACTAAACATCAAAGGTGTGAAATAAAACGCTAGAAAAGTGTTATAATGCTGCAATTGTTTGTTAAGTTCAGGTTTGATCTTATTTAGATAAAAATCTTTGTTTGAGTTTTAAATCAATAGAGTTGGTAGCAGAATCCAGAATACTAGAGCAAGAAAGGCAGTATTTGTTCTTACAAGGAGGAGATGTGATGAAATGCTTAAAAATATGCGAGTTTTTATCGCCTTCCATGTGCTCCTTTATCCTAGTAGAGAAGTGGCGACTAGTTTCGCCAATATAATGGGAATTACATCCCGCACAAGAAAATTGATAAACTACCATGAAGATTGAGCTTCAAACTAGGAAACAATAATTCCAGAAAGACTGGTATCGGTTAGGGAAATTTCGCCTTACTGCATCAAATTTTAAAAGTATTTGCTCTAGGCAAATAGATTTTGAAGCTCTTGCTACCAGATTGTTAAAGGGAACAACAACACAAACAGCTGCCATGAAGTATGGCTTAGAACATGAGGATAAGTTGCAGAGTTATAAGCTCAAAAGTTTGGTTGGTCTATTTAAAAGTTGGTTTTGTGATTAACGGAAGAGTCCCTCATCTTGGTCATAGTCCAGATAGGAGGATATTATTATGTCTCTTTATAGAGTTCACCTTGGGGTCTCTTTTAAATTAAATGCTCCATGGCAGAAGAGCTCAAAGATATAAAATACTTGAAAAAAACCCCACAACAGGAGTATACTCGCAAAAAAGAGGCATCAGTATTATTTTCAGGTCATGGGCTGTGTGGGACTCACTGGTCAGGGGTGGTCTGACTTTTTTGTTCAGTGTAAAAAGGAATTTCATCATGAACGGATATATTATGATTCTGAGTTTTTCTCAATTATGATTGAAAAACTTAATTTATTTTACTTCTGTTACTACCTGCCTACATTAGTGGCTTCAAAATAGTGAATCCTACAGCAGTCAAGATACAATGGGTGGTTGCTAGTTGTTAGTGTTTCACATCAGATGGTACTGTTGGGAAAAATTGTTATCTTCCATCAAGAATTGCAAAGGGCTTGTACGACTGAGAATGAACTTGTTGAGTTACATGAAAGAAACCTGTTTGACAGCTTTTGATGTACTTTTAGTATAGTGTAATATTTGTGGCAAAATGCAACATACAGCTTTTAACATTTTGAACAGTGTTAAGGATCACAGGATCTGAAATCAATCAAAGAGTTTGATATTTCTCAATACTATAGAAAGTACTCGTCATAGTGGAAGGATGAATTAAAAATACAGCACTGCTAACAATAATAATAATATTTATTGATTCGTATTGTGCAAGTATCAATCCAGAGAAAAAAATTTTTATCTGTGCGTTACTTTGACTCAACAAAATCTAAAAATCCTAAACATATTCCAATTAGCAAAAAGTCTTATTTACAATAAGTACTTAATCTTTAAAGTCCTATATAAAAATCCTTCTTATGAAAAGAATAAAAACAATAAATTAGCTGGGAAATGCCTTCTGGAATATATGAGTTTTAAGAGCCTTCTTGAAACCATTAACTGAAGATATATTTCTAATAAAAAGCGGAAGATCGTTCCATAATTTAGGAGCAGCCCTGTAAACAGATCGATCACCAAGCATGGAAAGAGACTTGCATGGTGGAATGTTAAAAAGTTTGCCGTCATTTGATCTAAGATAGTACCTACCCCCTGTGTTTTTCAGAGATACAAGATCAGAAATGTAAGTGGGAGCAAGTTTATGAATGGCCTTAAAAGTTAACAATGAAGTTTTTAAAACAATTCGATATGCTACGGGTAACTAAAGTAGGTCTCTCAGTAATGGTGTAACATGACAAAATTTACTTTCTTCAAATACAAGACGTGCGGCAGAGTTCTGGACTCTGCAGTTTTTGAATATGATACGCTAGTAAGCCGTATAAGAGGCTTTTACAATAGTCAAGGCAGCTAGAAATAAAGGTATGTATCAGAGTTTCCGTACATTTTTTGCTAAGGTACTTCCTTATCCTCCTGATATTATACAAATCATAGAATTCTGCAGAGCATGTTTTCGTTCTGTGATCACCCATTGATAGATTAGAATCAAAACCAGACACCCAGATTGCAAATGGGAGATTGTGGAGTAATGACAGTGCCCAACAGTTGTGCCGATGAAAAGAAGTTCCGTTTTGGCATCAATCATGAGCAACCTGTCTTGAGATATCCACTGCCTGATGTCCTGACTGCAATGTTCGATAGAAACAACTGGATCAGCCTGGCCAGAGTGCGCCGTGGGACTAAACGTGATATATAACTGAGAGTCATCGGCATAACAATGGACAGTTGGGAGGTGCTTCTTCACAACATCAAACAGTGCACTTGCATAAACTGTAAAGAGAAATGGGCCGAGACACGAGCCTTGAGGAACACCATACCGCAGGTGGAACTTATCAGATACAGCTCCCCGAACAGACACTTGCTGGGAACGGCCAGACAAATAAGATCGAAACCAGGGAGGAGCAGTGCCATTCAAAGCAAGTTTATTAATTTTAGTCTGCAACTGATATGGCCAGGTCAGCTCATGTTTGCAAAGAGCATGTTTTATTGACCTTTCTAATTAACAAATATAACATGTTCGATTTCTCAGCCAGTGACTTGGGAAAGACAATCTTAATTCTTGGATTCTTTTTTATTAGAAATTCCAAGGGTGAATTTTGGATCGTTTTAAATAAACTGAAGACATTACACTTCCATGTACTTTGATTTTTTTTTTTTTAGTGTCTGTTTTGTCACAAGAATGATGACATCTCCACGTCTGCCCAAGACAAGAATTTTTGCTTGGAGGTGACAACAACAGGAGCACATCGACTCAAGCGAAATCACCAATATTATCACGAGGTACCATGGGTGAAAAGTTTAATAATGTTACTTTTTCATTCGTTTTGGGAAATTGTACCTGTGTTATATTAAGAGCAGTTTTTCAAATATTTCAGCTACAAGCAAAAACCTTGGCAAGTTTTCTTGTCTAAGTTTGTAGAATATGAGATGATATGCGAGACATTAGGCTGCTACAATAACAGTATTGATGCTAAATTGTAAATAGCATTAAGCTTTTGATCCTTTTTACTTTTTTCAACAGGTCCTGTTGCAGCTGATGTGCACAGACCTGAAATACATTGATTTTGTTGATTGGACTAAAAAGGGTCTTTTTCGATTTAGAGAATTTTTTCCGGACAAATTGTTTTGGAAGGAGAAGGTTCTTAAAGCAAAAGAGTTTTTTGTGCGAGCAATTTTACCTGAGGTTATTGGCCGATGGTACTCGAGACCAGTCACATCTCTGTCAGATGGGTCTGCTACAGTGGAAGGGGGTAAATAAATTTTGTTATTGTAGGGGTGGGGAACATGGGCAAATGGTTGGATGTGATGATGGAAGGTGCAGCTAGCAGTGGTTTCACATTTCGATGTCTAAAATTAAACACATTTCCAAAATCAAATACATGGTACTGTCCAGATTGCCAAAAGCGACGAAAGGGGAAATCTATGCGAAGCGAGTAGGGTGTTATAACATGGGTGGAATCTCAAGTTAAGAATCCTGACAACATTTGAGTCACATTTTCTTTTATTTTTTAAACAGATAAAACCAATATATGAACTTATACATTTTTCTATTGTGAGAGTCAAATACAGCTTTTTGTGAACTAGTTAAATTGTTGTATGTATATTTAAGATAAGGCTAATATTAAAGTGTTTAATCAAATGGAACTACTGAGTCACACAAATTCACTAGGGCACAACAACTTGTTGCAATCTTATCTAGGGTAGTTACATCCCCATTGCGTACAGTGACAAAATCAATTGGCTGAGTAGCACTCAGAATGCTATATTTCTTTCGAATATTTCCAATAACCCTCTCCACATGAATGCGAACATTTGCTATCCTGCGGGTTTGCTCCACCTCAATTCCACTGAGTTGCCTTTTCCCTTTTGTAAAAGCGGGCATCTTGATTGTAGAACAAGATAACCCCACTGAATGTTGGATATCAAACCCCCTGTGAGCAAGAATGACATCCCCTTGGTTAAGATGATCTAAAA